GTCTGTTGCTTAGGTGTCAAAATGGCGCAGATAAATTGATAAGAAAAAGTTACTTCTCCAAATCATAAAGAGAGACCGTTAGGTGGCAAGGTATATCTAGATTTTTGCAAAGAAATGTTGCTTTTTCTTATCTCAAATAACGTTTGCATGATGCAGAGGAAGTATCTTAAAATTGATTGCTGGATTAGATCTTGGGGTGGGGGACGAAGAGCGGAGGTAATGGCGGAGGGACGTATGACTTCAGACCCTGGGACTCCGATTTCTCTCGTACTTTATTGGGAATTTTCATTTATTAGACTCAAAGTTTTGTCCTGATTAGCGCAGGTATTTAATTCAGTATATGTTACACTAAGCCTACAGTTTTAACTTACCACCTTTGGTGAGCTAACCATTGTTGGTTTTATTAAAATTCTTCTTTATTTCTTAGCTGAAAACTGCACTCGATTTCTGGAGGAAGGGCGTGGGAAAAGCAATGGGACAGTGGGGGCGTTGCACGTCCCACAAGAAGCCGATGTGCATCGTAAAAATAGATGAGAAGTTAAAATGTGTTGAGCAAGCATGGGTACTGAGTATGGTCGAGGATAAGAGGGTGGAGAACTGAACCGCGCAGCTTCATATCCGACATGACGTTCTAAACCACTGAATACTTGCTGAGCATATTTCAAATTATACCAACTATTTTATTAACTCGTGCTAGCTTTTCGTGTGATCGCCTCCAAAGGGAGCGAAAAGGAAAGAATAAAAGGAAATTTGTATATGACTACACACTTTCAGCTTTTCGAAAATCTGCTACTTCATGATTTCAGCATACTTTCATCTTTTCGCTGTTCAGCCAATTTCACTCTAATTATACTCAGTTTTAGATCAGTTGACTTAAAAAAATGTTTAAAAAGCGAAAGAATTCGGTAGTGCTGTGTACAGGAAAAGTGGTAAGTTGAGTTACTGCTTAAGTAAGTGCATTCTGGTTCTGGGATGCTTAATTACACGAAATGGACTTCAACTTAATTGTTTTTTGTTTAATTCGTTCAATGTCCTAGTGTACATTTTTTTTCTGGTTGCCCGTCCCCGCCCAACTTCCGCTGTCACGATAAGTTGATTAGGTGCCGAGGATTTTCCAAAATCTGTCTGAGTAACTAAAGAAAAACCAAATAAACAGTTACATAACTTGGGAAAAAGGATGACCAGTATGATACACAGCGAAAGCCGGCTTCTCAACGGACTAAACCAAATGTAACATTATTGGTCAGACTGTATTTTGCATCAGCCATCCAGTATCTTTTCGACTGTACGTTTCATACCTCCGACTACCTGGGCTCGCCTTTAGCTGAGATTTTATTTGCATATTCTGACCGACGCACGATGACTTGTTTTGAGTCGTAGACTGCGAGCCCATTTCGTTCGCTGCTTGCTTTTTATTTGCTTTTGATTGTTCTGCTGGGCCGCAGTAGTTTTTTTTTTTTTATCTCAGCAGAGTGGAGATGAAGGCAGCTTTCACTTTGTTGCAGTCATTTGGCGGAAGAATGATTTGATTAACACTTAGCTTTCGGTTATTTCACAATGTGATGAAATTTGCGCGAGTATAGCGAATCTGTAACTGACGTGCTTAGACCTTCACTAATTTTTTGCACACTAACTTGTTTGCATTATGGTGTTTTTACATCAACCGCCCTCCTGATTTGTAGTGGCGGATGTGGCTCGGCGTTGTAGAAGGTGAAAGAACATTGGGCCCTGGTGCAACACGCGTAAAAAAAGTGGAGCTGCTGCGGTACAGCATTCTGAGAGCATTGATAGCCCACAAGTAAATGCATTGTGGGCAACATGTATTTAAATCCTAAAAATTCTTTTTAATACTCAGAATTTTCTTCTAAGCATGGCTTTGGGCAAATGTGTATATTCCAAAACAATCAAGGAGGAGTGATTACTTTGCAGATGGAAGAGGATCGTCTCGGTATGTCGATAACCGGCGATGTGGCAGAAATCGAGAAAAACGGGAAAGGCCTAATTGGAATATCAATTGGAGGAGGTGCTCCGTACTGCCCCTGCATCTATGTGGTACAGGTTTCCGAGGATTCACCGGTTGCCAGAGATGGACGCATTCAAGCAGGGGATGAAATCGTGAGGTAAGCATTCAGAATGATGTTTAAGAGAAAGAATTCGTACAAATGCGAATTTTAAAAAAGACATAAAAACTGACCAGCGACTGACACAAAAGCGGCAGCGGTCTCTGGCGTAATCACACTTCATCTTACCAGTAAACTTGTTTTGGTCTAGTGATATCACTATGAAAAGTAGTTCGCCTTTGCTTTGTTTTGGTGTTGACGCCTAATTTACGAAGACAGTCACCGCTTTCAGCTTCATTCTCAGGCGATCGCCCTGTTAGCGAACCGCTTTCAGCGCTAACAGTACCCAGCGGTTTCCTATCTGCTAAAGACGCTGTCAGATGAGTGAGGGATGAGCGCACCCAACGTTCACATGAGTGAATTTTGTAGCTGAATCAGTTGCATTAATCCACTTATTTCCACCGTTAAATCCCTTTGCATACCGGCACGATTTTTTCGTTAGCTCAAGATCTTAACAAATAAACCATGAAATTAAAAGTATGGAAACCATGAAGCCAAAGCGCTCATTTTGGTTCCAGCTTGCTGTGGGCAAAGAGTTTTCCTGGCAAGGTAAAAGACGGTGATGAAAATTTGTTTCGTGTCAGTCCTACTAAGAATTCAATAGCAATAAAATTCCACTGCAAATGGGAGGGAAGATGCAAAATTGTCAGTTAATAAAAACATGCGCTCAAACTGCAAAAGGTGAACACACTTTTAAATATGCGCAAAGCGCCCATCCGGAAGTAACACACTCTCTTATGGACTTTAGCTGAGACCTGGAACAGCTGAGATCATAGGCACAGGATATCCGAAGCTACATTTTCAAAAAGCTATGTAAAACAAGTTAGAGCAGACTCATGTGGTACTTGTAATCTGTTTCCCCTGGCTGCAGCGTGAACGGCATACTCGTGAAAGGCGA